GTGGCTGTGGCTGTGGCCGTGGTCGTGGGGGTGGCCGGAACAGCCACCACCAAATCATCATCATCATCATCATCCTCTTCCTCCTTAATATCAGGCACCCCATCCTCCTTTTGAAAGAGACTCTTCTGGCGGCGATGTTCGGCGAGCAGCAGCTCCAACGTCTGCCACGATCTCTCCGCCCTGAAGAGCTCCTTTCGCAGCCGGTAGCCCGCCTGGTAGCTGCTGCAGCGGGCGTTGCCGACACTAGAGCGGTCACCCCTGCCCAGCGTCAGGTTGCGAATGAAGAAGCCCAGGCAGCCGCAGCGGCTGATCCGGTTGTGGCAGATCGGACATCGGTGGCCGCGGTTTTCCTTCCTGTTAAGCTCGGCCAGCTGCTCCAGCTGCTGCTGTCCGGAGGTGAACTGCTCGACGGTCTTGGCAAAGGCGAACCGTGCCAGCTGGTAGCAAAAGTCATTGGAGGAGCTGTCTTCAGGCTTCTTCGCCTTCGTGGTGGGCGGCATTGTACGTTGTTGTTTTGTCTTAGGACCCGGTTGATTGTCCATTTTTATTTTTGTCTGACAGTGATGCCGAAAAGCTGCAGAAAACAACAGAGCCACATGAGAGGCGCTTTCAAAAGACACAAATGTTGCTGGGAAGTTTTCTCTGCATTTTTTATTGCTTTGGGAAATGTAACGTTAGATAAAGGGATGCAACAAACAAAACAGTGGTTGAAGCAATGGTGTCACTTGTAGACAATCTTCTTGGTCCAGGAGAGGCCGGAAATGGAGGGCGAGCTGTAGTGGGTGCCAGTGTAAGATGATCCACTACCTCCTCCTCCGTTGCCAGTTGAATGAGCATTGCGCCCCATTGGATCGACCATCGCCTCGATGTTCACCTGGTCGGTGATCAGCTTCGCCCGAAGCTTCTCAATCACCGCCCCGGCGTTGTCCATCGTCGGCTCGGCGAAGCTAATGTAGTGCCGATCTTCGCCGCTCCTCTTCATTACCGCCTCGTTGAACTTCTCCTTGGTCTCCTCGATCAGCGTCTTCATCGACTGCTGCTCGCTGCTGCTCTCTTCGGCGGAGACCTGAATGAGGTTGTTGCCGCCGCCGCTGTTGCTGCTGTTACTGTAGAACTGCTGCAGCTGGGCGAGCTCCTCCACCTCAAAGACCTCCTTCGCAAAGGTGACAATCTCGAAGATGAAGTTGTTCGTAGAGTTCCACTTGGTGAAGCGGTGGCTGGTGTCCAGTTCGCCGGTGTCCTTGTTGACGAACGGGTGGATTGGAACTGGATCAAAGATGATTTTCTANAGCTCCTCCACCTCAAAGACCTCCTTCGCAAAGGTGACAATCTCGAAGATGAAGTTGTTCGTAGAGTTCCACTTGGTGAAGCGGTGGCTGGTGTCCAGTTCGCCGGTGTCCTTGTTGACGAACGGGTGGATTGGAACTGGATCAAAGATGATTTTCTAATCAAAAAGGTTTCTGTTACCAATGGTGTTGAATGCTACTAATACAAAAGGGACAAACCGGAACATCACAGTTGGGATAGGAGGCACTGATGTGAATGGTGAAGCGGAGGATCATGCCCGCGTAGAGGCCACTGTGAATGAAGAGGACGCCGAACCAGTCTGCAGAAGAAGATAAATCTGTAAGATATTACGAGACATTAAAAGTATACTTTACAACTCACCGAAAGCCGACGAATATGAGGGGACTAGGTAAACGTGGTTCAGATTTTGCTTCTGAAAGAGGACACTAAATAGAAAGAAAATGGGTAAATCTCATCATCATCATCATCAAAAGCGGGAATTATACTCACAACTCCTTCATCAACTGGTACTCGACGAAGATGGGCGAACACTGCACTGAAGGGGGCAGCGACTGGGTGGACTGGTGGGCGGTGGCCATCATCGAGAAACTGCGCTGATCTCGTTGCGATGGCTGCTGTTGCGATTGAAGTTGCTGCAGCTGCTGCTGCGACGGTATACTCGACCTCTGATCCATCAAGCTCGGGAAATGTAATTACCTACTATCACTACCACTAATGATAGTGAAATCAATCAAAAATAGCAATTTGGAGAAGGAAAACTTTGAAGAAGAAAAAGAAGAGAAGGGGGAGAATNCAGCTGCTGCTGCGACGGTATACTCGACCTCTGATCCATCAAGCTCGGGAAATGTAATTACCTACTATCACTACAACTAATGATAGCGAAATCAATCAAAAAATAGCAATTTGGAGAAGGAAAGCCTCGAAAAAGAAGAGAAGGGGGAGAACCAAAACAAACGCTGAGTGAGGGTGACGTAAGCTCGCTCAGTGAGCGTTCTGCAAACGAGTTCTACTTCTCTCTCTGCTGCTGCTGCTGAGCACAACAATAACAACACTGAACACAGAACACGCTCGTGTCAGTCTCGTTAACGGTCGCTGCCTGCTCTCCTCTCCTCTCTGTCGGTTATTAAATGCCCATCAAGGCCACCGCTGACCTTCTGATCACCACCTGACAACCATAACATTAAAAGGGAGAAGAAGATGGATGCGCCGCCCAACCTTCCGCCGCCGCAGCCGATGGATGAGGATGCGGATGATGATGGTATTGCCCAAGTTTCAGCCACCTCTTCCACCTCAGAAGCAGACGCCGACAAGTGCCCGATCTGCTGGAACGCCTTTGCCCACAAGATTAGCCTTCCCTGTGCACATGTAAGTACCTGAAGACTTTAGGTGCTTCCTATTTACTAAATCTCTGTCTCCCAACAGGAGTTTTGCTTTCTCTGCGCCAAAGGAGCCGTGCTTCGATCTCTAAGGGTAAGGAAGAAAGTAGTGCGATGACGCAATGATGCAATCATTTTTTCCTTTCCTTTACCACCAGTGCCCAATGTGCCGCGGCGACGTGCCGGCGGACTTCTTCGACAACTGCACCATCAACAACGAGAATGTGAACATTGCCACCTTTGACGGCAACTACCACTGGTACTACGAGGGCCGCAACGGCTGGTGGCTCTTTGACGCCCGCGTCAGTCTGGAGATTGAGGAGCAGTACCAGAAGCGGCTGACGATGCTGGCGGCGGCCGCCGTTGCCTCGGCCTCGGCTGCTGCGGCTGTGGCGGCCACGACTTCGCCTATTGCTGCCTCGAGCACGCCCTCCAGCAGCGGCCAACACACGGACTCGGGCGTCATTGTTATTGATGATAATGATGACGACGAAGAGGATCACTATGATAGCGAGGAAAGTAGTGATAGTGATGAGGAAGATGAGAGTGATGATGCCGACCTTGGTGGTGGTGGTGGCAGTGGTCGTCCCCGTCGCCGAGCCGGCAACAATGACTCCCAGCCGATGGACCAGTGCGAGGTGATGATCGCCGGCTTCATGTACACCATCGACTTCAGGCACATGATTCAGTACCGGCGCGATTCGCCCTCACGAACTCGGAAGATCAAGCGCGACCAGGCGGAGGCGAACACCAAGGGCATCGCCGGCCTGCGCGGCAACATTAACTTCATCTGAAGAGTGGGAACTCTTCCGACTACTGAAGGCGACCAAGGTTTTAGCCATTATTTGCAATAACTCCCCATTTTCTTCATGTACAAAAGCACACTACCTCTTTCACTTTCACCCACACACTCACAAAACACTGCAACAGTGCGCTCTTAACTTCAAAGTTGAACTGCGAAGCTTCATGTTATATTTTCTTATCTTATTCACAAACTGTATAAAGATTTTAAAAACTAGCCAACGGATAGATAGATAGATAGGTCCAGGAATTGTTTAGTGTCGACGACAGCGAGGATGAGAAGAAGAGAAGGATGAAAAAGCGAATGTCCACTACTTTTGCAAGCCCGCCCTCAGCTGCATGTCCAGCTGCACCAGCTGCCGGAGGAAGCCCTCGTTGGGGAAGATGCGCCGGTTGGAGCGGACCGTCCTCACCGCGTTCTCCACCGACAGGCCCTTCTTCAGCATCAGGTAGGCGATGGCGGTGGTGGCGGAGCGGCTGACGCCCGCCAGGCAGTGCACCAGCACCTTCCCGCCCCTCTTCTCTAGGGCCTCCTCGATGAAGGCGGCGCTCTCCGCAAAGGTCCGCGAGATGTCCTCCAGCCAGGTGTCATCGAGGTGGAGGCCCTTGAAGGTGATGCCCACGTCGCGGTAGAACTCCGCATCGGTGGCGACCATGTTGAAGCGGTCGCCGTGGGCGGTGTTGAGGACGTGCGTCACGCCGATCGCCTTCAGGTACTGCTTGTTCCGGGCGGCGCCTCTATTTTTAAAACAAATATTTGTTATGATTTTAGAACACTTTATTTACAGTAGAACACTTACGCATTGCCGACGATGATGCCCGGGTAGACCTCGTCGCAGTCGATGCCATTCTCAAAGCGGGCCACCTTGTGATTTGCCGAGCAAGGCATCGGCTTGCTTCGGTCCGTGTGTGTGTTCATCAGAATGTCATCGATGGCGAAGAGTTTCTGAAAAACGAAAAGAGCGGCTTGTTAGTCGTGTGCAAACTTGCGGGAACTCTTAGCTTACCTTTTTGAACTCCGGATCATTAAGTAGCTTATCGTCGATGACCATTGTTTCGCTTTTTGATGTGTTGTTAGTTGTGTGAGAAACAGTTATGGTTTTGCTTTTATGTTTGAATGAAGGCACAACACGAGAGCTAACGAGGAGGGGACAACCCAACTGAGGAAGAAGATGAGCACCAGCAGAAGCACCAACAGTAGAAACAAAATCAGTGAAAGATGACGAATGTCGGTGACGATGAGTGTATAAATATGCGGCCTTTGACAGAGCTAGCGGTAGTGATGCGATCTGGTAGTACTCTGTAGTACAGCTGAAGGTGCAAAACACACATTTATGGTGTACTACTAGGCACCAGATTTCTATTTTGAAGCGGCAGCAGCAACCCGAGCTGATGACAATCTGCGGATGCCAGTGCGGCGAGTGAACGTAGTAGAGCCGACGACGCTTTTTCGTTGAGGATAACCAGAGGGAGAGAGGGAGAAAGAGAGAGGGAGAGGGAGCAGAAGTCAGGGAAAGAAGAGCAGACCAGAAAACGATTGACTTTTATGTGAGAGAATCACCACTACTACTACTACTACTGCTTCTACAACGGCTGATCCTGCATCTGCTGCTGCTGCTGTAGTAAGATGCTTGTACACTGTACAGTTGTTTTGTACAACGAAGGAAAGCGCCTTCCTTCGGATTTGCTGCTGCTGCTGCTGCGGCTGCCGCTGCCATTGAAGCTGATGATTGCGCACTGCTCGGCACTGCTGTAGATGAAGCCAAGAAGTGCCTCGGTGTGGGCAGCAAAGTGGGTGAAAGATGGTAACACTACCCCTACACACCGAATGATCAACTTGAAGCTTTCTTTTTCCAAATGCGAAAATGAAAAATGAAAAAGAGCTTGCATCTTTTGCAATTGTCAGTCCATGTTATCCTGCTTCTGCTGCTGCAGTAGAATCTTTGCCAGTCCTTCGACGACTTTCTGTGCGGTAAACAAGAATAAAAAGCGTTAGCCGAACAGTTTTCAATTACTCGTCGCCGAGTGGTTGTCAAGAAAGAAGAAAGTAGAAAATTACTTTTCCGTCGGCGGTGGTAGTGCACTCGTACTGACAGAAGTAGATGTTTCGCCTTTTATTTGCAATCGTCACTTTGGTGACAAATTCCTCGCCCACGTATACTGGAGAAAGAAAAAGAGAGCTTATTTATCAATTGGTGAAATTCAAAATCAATTTAAAGTAGGCCAGTTTCCTTACGTGGATTGGGAAAGTGCAAATCCTGCTGCAACAGAATGCTGCCGGGACCGGGGAGAATGGTGCCAATGGCTGCCGATATGATTCTGAAATAAGTAGAATAGTAAGTAAACACAGGATTAATTAAGCTCAATTAATCTTACCCGTTAATGAGAGCCCCGTGTACGATGGCACTGTTAAAGTTGAATCGATTCGCAAACCGGTCATCAAAGTGCAGTGGATTGTAGTCTCCCGTCAGCTGAGCAAACTGTTCCACATCGACGGCTGAGAAAGCTCGTCGTACAGTGCATGATCGGCCCACTTCGATTTCACTCGGAACAGACGACTTTGAGGACGTTGCTTTGCCGTCTCCTGAATCACCTGATGCCGATAGTGGCCGATGAAAGCAGACAAATAGTAGATTCCTCTTTAGGAGAATGTTCTTCTTCCAGCAGATTTGAAGTGCGTTCATGTTGCGTCAAAAAAGCTCACTTTAGAAGTTCTTGAAGCAAAGATTTTCAGGTAGCAAAATTGCATTGCACAATCAGGTTTGTTTTCTCANGGAACAGACGACTTTGAGGACGTTGCTTTGCCGTCTCCTGAATCACCTGATGCCGATAGTGGCCGATGAAAGCAGACAAATAGTAGATTCCTCTTTAAGAGAATGTTCCTTTTCAAGCAGATTTGAAGGACGTTCATGTTGCGTCAAAAAAGCTTACTTTAGAAGTTCTTGAAGCAAAGATTTTCAGGTAGAAAAATTGCATTGCACAATCAGGTTTGTTTTCCTAACGTGGTTACGTCCTCTACTGCCGGGCCACTGATCGTACATCACGTGACAGTTTGTTTGCAGTTTATTTTCTCGGATGATCAAAACATTTCTCGATTCTTGATCTTTGCATCTTCTCTTTTCCATCACATTATCATCAACGATTGAACGCTTATCAGAAAATGGAGACCGACAACGTTCGTAAAGCTCTTGTGATCTACGCAACTGAGGGAGGCGATGGCCAGAGGAAAATTGTGGAGCTCGCCAAAAGTCTGACCGCTTGTGCGACCACCGTCACCGAGTCGCGGATTGATAATCTGCCCACTGAAGGTACTTTTTCTAAATCTTTCTAAATCAGCCAACTCAGCAAAACTTTGTTCAAATTTCGCAGGTCCCTTTGAGGCGATCATCGCCGAAGAGCCGAGCTTCACCACTGCCCAGTTGGAGCAGTTGCTCAAACTTCTCTCGCCCAACTGCTACATGTACATTGCCAAGTCGGCCGCCACCGCCAAGAATCTGTCATTCCAGCTGAAGGTGGGCGGCTTTGTGGCCGTCAGTGAGTCGGACAGTCTGATTGCCGTTCGCAAGCCCGACTACGAGGTGGGCTCCTCGGTGAAGGTGGTGGACACCTCTTCTAACGGTAAGAAGAAGCTCTGGTCCGTGGAGGCGATGGACGACCTCGAGGCGGACGACCTGATCAACGACGAGGAGCTGCTGGACGAGGCGGACCGGGCGAAGCCCTCGGCGGAGGACCTGCGCGTCTGCGCCACCACCAAGCAGCGCAAGGCCTGCGCCAACTGCAGCTGCGGCCTCGCCCAGGAGCTGGAGGCGGAGGAGAAGGAGAAGATTCGGGAGAACTCGCAGAACGCAAAGTCCTCCTGTGGAAGTGTAAGTCCTACTGCAACGACAAAGCTTTTGGCACTAATTTTTAAACCCTTATTTTTATCGTACAGTGCTACCTGGGCGATGCATTCCGTTGCGCCTCCTGTCCCTACAGAGGTATGCCAGCATTCAAACCGGGGGAAAAGGTGGTCATTGATGCTAGCGACGATCTGTGAAGAGGAGCGGATGGTGCACTACTACTGTTAATAGTCACTCAGCAGCGGTTTTCGAAGCTGTGCTTTACTGTGCTTTTTCCCATTCATTAATTCTGTCACACTGACCAACACACAGCAACAAGGATAGATAGAGCTATAGATAGAAACTTGAAAAAATAAAGAAATGAGCTGTATAAAAGAGAAATAAAAGACTGAAACTGTGCGTGTTGTCTGATCACAGCTGCATCAGGTCCTCCACCTTGAAGATATCGGGCGGGACGTACGAGTTTCCACGACCTCCTCCAGAACTGGTCGAAGACGAAGACGATTGACTGCTGCTGATGAGGGAGAAGAGTCGGCTGACCACGGCATTTCGCTTGCCCATCGCCTTCTCCGCCCTTGCCACCTCCCGCTCCATTAGGCTGAGATGGAGGCCAACGTGGCCGACGATGCGCTCCAGCTTGTCGATCATCCGGAAGAGGCCCTGCAGCTGGGCCCGATTCGATTCCAAAAAATTACCCTCCTCGGAAGTTAGCTGGTCGATGCAGGCGCCGCCCTCTGCGCGGATCATCTCCACCAGGCCGTAGAACTCCTCCATGTGCGTCAGCAGGTTGTCGATGCACTCATTTAGTTCGTCGATCTAGAACAGAGAGGAAGTTGGGAGTTTTAGAAGCTATCAAAAGATGAGAAGTCGTTTTATTAGAAGCTGTACCTGACTGCCCGAGTTGAGGCGGTAGTATNCGCCCTCTGCGCGGATCATCTCCACCAGGCCGTAGAACTCCTCCATGTGCGTCAGCAGGTTGTCGATGCACTCATTTAGTTCGTCGATCTAGAACAGAGAGAAAGTTGGGAGTTTTAGAAACCATCAAAAGATGAGAAGTCGTTTTATTAGAAGCTGTACCTGACTGCCCGAGTTGAGGCGGTAGTACTTGGAGTAGTCCTCCACCAGCTGCTTTCCCAGCCGGTCTAGTTGGGCGCTTTTGACTGCCAGCTTTGCTGGATCAACTGTTGTGGTTCTATTTTTCGAGGATGTTTCTTGCTTTTTGCTGCTCTCATCGTTTTTGTCGCCTTCTTCTTCTTGATCTTTATTTTTATCCTCAGCTTCTTCTTCTACTTCTTTCAGCTGCGACTCGTCAAGGTCAATGTTGACGAAAGAGGCGTTTGCCATGGTGGTGGAGTGAAGGTTTTTATTTGGAGGAGGTTGTTGTTGTGGTGGTAGTTCTACTTTTTGGCATTCTGATGACAAGCGTCGTGCTGAACACTGCTCGTGTTGTTGTTGATAACAGAGATGTAGATTTGGTGCCGATTTTTCCAGTAGATGGAACCGGTGGTTTTTTTTAAAACCGCTTTTTCGAAAATCAACAAAATCTCGCTAAAAATTGAAAGACCTTTTTCTGGTTTTGATAAGATTCTAGAATCAGTCAGGAGTTAATCACCGGTAACTAAACCACTTTTTCAAAATGAAATACAACAGAAGCTGGGTTGAAACACCTTACTATTTTCACTTTTTATCGACAAGAACATGTGGTGACACACACACACACCAACAAATAGTTTTCTTTCTACAAATGGGGTTTGTTAAAACGTCTTCACCAGGCACTACTAGTGGCCACCGGTTTTGGGCGCATTCGCCTGCTTGCCCTGGCTCTTCTCCCAGTTCTCGAACATCTCCCGCTTCAGCTGCTCCCGGCGCTCAAAGTAGTAGGGATAGGCGGCCTTCTCCATGGGGTGGTAGCCGTCCATGTGCCCGTCAGAGTACACCGTCTCTCGCTCGTACATCAGCCCACCGGGCGAGTACATGAACTTCTTCGGCTTCGGGTGCAGGTGCAGGAAGAGCTTCCGCTCGCCCTCCTCCATCAGCAGCTTCGCCGTGCGGAGGTCCTTCACGTTGCGGTGCTTCTCAAACTCGGCGCGAACCGTCGCCCAGACGAACTTGATGTCACCACTAAAAAGTTGGAAAAAGGTTAGTTCAGAAAATAGAATTCAACGGAAGATCTTTCTTCACTCACAGGTCTCGGTAGAAGCTGGTCTCATTGCGGACGCATCGCTTGAAGAGGTTCTGCACGCGGCGAGTGTGCGAGACAAAGTCACGCTTCAAGTAATTGGCAAACTCGGCCATGCTGGTGGGGCCACAAACTCTTTTTTGGACCACCAGAAAAGAAAACCGGGATAAGACGATGTTGACGAGAAAGATGAGAACCCGAAAACTGCAAGCTGATTGATTGTTGTGGTTTGTGTTTTGTACAGCACAACAAGGACAGAGGAGAGATTTCCGGAAAGATTTCCACCGTCGCTGCACGGCTGCACTCTTTCCTAAGGAAGTTTATTAGCGGTGCATTTTTTTCGTTCACTCGCATTTCAGTGAAATGATTTCACTTCACTTCAACAGCAACACTTTTTTGCATTTGATTAATTTGGGTCCCTCTTGTTTTGTTGACCTACTGTTCAAGGCCACTATCATCATCAGTAAAGTGACCAGGAGCGGGACAGCATTTTGCCCTGAAAAAGTCAGCGCCTGACCGTCTATTAATTGAGAAGAGATGGACCGGCCGATAAACAACGATCAGCAGCTGATGGCCCTAGCTAACGATGGATGCAACAGTTGGACCAACCAAACCTTTATCCTTTGCCTCTTTAAGAGCATCTTTTTGGCTACAGCACTACCTGCTATCACTCAGAGTAACTAGCACCGCAGTTCACTAACACTACTGGCGCGACTACTGCCGAAGAACTTAACTCCAGTCAGGCCACACCAAACGCCTCACTCCACTGACTTGCATCAACTAAAAATAGCTGGAGACACTGTCGAACTACGTTGCTACCACCAGCTCACCGGCAAATGGCTACTACCGTTGACTGCTGCTGCTGCTGTTCTAGTCAACCAGAAAGATAGCAAAAAACTGAAAACGAGGTGGCCACAATCAGCGCAACAGCAGCAGCAGCAGTAGTCGGAACTTGGCTGTCGATTTCATCGTCGTCGTCGCCGTTTGATTGTCGAGCACGTCCTATCGGGCACGTATACAGGGGCATCAGTAATGGTAATGGCAGGCAAATCAGAGGGAGGAGGGCAAATCAGCAGCAGCAATAGAGGATATTTACCTCGGCTGCTCACGCGATTTTGGCGGCTGCCATTGAGCAGAGTAATGCTCCAGACCTCGGTGTGTAGTGTGCACTGCACCATCAGCAATCACCTCCTCCTCGTTCACTTTCACTTGAGCATGGAAAACTTTGTCAGCAGGCTGCTGATACAGACTGCTCACTTTTGCTTACTGAATCGCTCGTTGTTATTGTAGTTAGTCCACTATTTTTCTTTCTTCTTCTAAAAGATGGTCCATTGTGATGGTTCATTGTGGCTCACTAGACCGCAGTTTAGAGATCTACCGGCAGCAAATCGATAAGTGTCTGGAAGCAGACAGAGTCTGCACTTCGCAGCCAGAAAGATGGTGAGAATGTTTTGCTTAACTGAAAAAAACTGCTGTTGTTGTTGTGAACGGAGAGAAAAACAACCACTGCTGCAATCGTCGGTCTAATCAGATGACTAGGCATCAAATTAAGCAATTAAGCAATTGTTGGCAGCTCAATCGACAGTAGTACTTTTGTAGTTTCTTTTAATACTTCTTTTGGGAAGCACTTTCCAGTTTTGCCTACTACTGGTGCAGAGGGCATTATATAACTGAGTGATCGAAGTTTAACTGACAGACAGATAAGAGAGAGTTGAGGGCTATGCTTGTACGGTACGTCACTTTTAGTTTAATGAAAGAGAGATAATGAAGTGCGGCAATACCTCTCTTGATCTGATGGCACTGCCAGTGCACATCAGCAGTTCTAACTAATAAACTCACAATGGACTGACTGACAGGTGCATTTCTCTTGTACAGAAGAGCTCTGTCGTACCATGAAAATGAAACAAAGCTGTACAGATGAAAAACGGAGAACAACAGTGATTTAAAAAAGCAAAAAGTCTGGTGGTGATTGATGATGATGATGGTGGCCAGTGAAGATTGTCGTCAGCACTTCCTCTGTGTCAATTAAAATTACAAAAACTGTTGGTAAACTTTATTGGGCAATCAACCGAGTAGTAGATGGACAGCAATTTGTGGTTGGCACTGGTGGTGGTGATGGTCACCACCAATTGGCGACCACATTTGTGCAGCAGTAGCACATCATCATCATCATTGAGTTGTGAGCAGTGGCACAATAACTTGTCATTCATTCATTGAACGACGGCCTTTAGCACTTTAGCCGCCACAACTGCTGCCTTCTAAAAGCGACTGTCCACTTGCACTTTTATTGTCCCAGTCTTGTTAGCTCACTAACTACTTCTGTGCTCCCTCTTTTCTTTCCCTTTTTCTTCGCCGTACCTGTCTTATCGATGCGGCGCATCAGTCGGCAGCATCTCTGCACTGACTGGCCAGTCAAACCGCCAACCTCCTAACCTCCAGATAGCTAAACAGACAGTCGTTCGGCAGGTAGTTTTCTAGCATCGGCGAACAAGGCTACTCTCTCACTCTCACTTGCCTTCAATGGAAACAACATTGCCGATTTCTGCCTTTTTTCTTTCTGCTCTGTGCCTCTGCTGCCTTGTTCTTTTCTATCCCCTTCTTTAGTTGCTCTTGCTGCTGCTGCTATTAATCTCTATCAGTTGTCGTACATCGATCGATTTGTGCTGCTGTGCTGATGTGCTGACGAGAGCTGTGTGCGCCTGTTTCAATCCCTTCTTTCTTCAGTGCTGGTGGTGGTGGTCATTGTGGTTCTCTTCTAGCCGGGTTAAAATATTGTTATTTAAGCAATTCATCGCTGTCGTCGGTTTTTGTGATTGCCCAACAGTGCCCTACAGATCAGTTATCCAACAACATTTCAACTGAATGTTTGGATTGATACCGAAAAGTTCCAGCACACAAACAGTATCAAACACCACCACAAAAAACAACAGCTTTTGTAGAGAATAATTATGCAAAGCCAATCACAAGGACGCCAACAGTGCTCATCATCATCAACAGCAGCAGTGAAACAGTTCTTCT